ATGTTATACTACGATGACGTTGTGACAGTTTTAACAAATAAGTAAAACAAAAACATTTTTAATAAAAATTACGTACTGCAGCTTTAATGGAGGACATTGTAACTGAAGTTGGTACTCAGGCGAACCCCTAAATCTACTTATTCAAGGCCTTTCTTTTAAATCTTGGTTTACTTTATTTAATATTCAATTATTTCCCAGTAAGATTAATTTACAGTTTGTGTATCCCTCTTCAGTTTTAGAGTTGCCTGTGAAGGATCGAACACTTTTGTCTCAGCTCTTCAAGTCAAAACGTTGCTCCACTTCTTAGTTTTCATAAGATTAGAGAGCATGTCCCAGTCTGCTGTTTTATCCCCCATGTTACAAGCAGAGCTCAACTTCCTCAGAGTTTCTCTTTCAGCTGGAAGTGAAAGTCTCGCAGGTCAGAGTGACTTCGGTTTGTGCCCATGTCAACAGAGACATGCAGCTAAGAAGAAGCGTTCGCGTCCCCTTCCTCTCCATTTCCCCTGCAGAAGGTCCGTTCTGCTACGACAGCCCGTTTTCATGCTTTTAAGTAGGTGGCTGGAGGAAGGCGAGCCAAATGGCCAAAACAACCACTGGTTCATTATCAAGAGGCCTAGAATTTGAGATTATAGGTGATTACACTCATCCATCCCCTTTTCTGAAAAAAAAAAGGAGAAATCTGTTTAATCCCCCTCTCTGGTGCAGCTCCGCAGGGCGCCCAGGGACGGCTGGCATCCACCACAGGCCTACAAAAACCCACATAACATACGGAACCAGGAGGAGCGCTGGCCCCGGCTCGCAGGGATGAAGGCCAGTTGGCCGGTGAACAAGAAGTGCAGGGTCTGATCGGGCAGAGGGAAACGCTACTTGGCCACAGATCACAGCGGTCAGTGGGGACGCGGTTGGCCTGCCGGCTTGCATGGGGAGCTCTCATGGAAAACGCGAGGCGGGGGCATGGAGTTGAGTGTTGACCTTAGACTCGGAGCTGCAGACATCGCTCAGCGACCTTCTCCTTCCAACTACATCCCTGCTGTCACGCTCGGCTCTGACTGACAGCTCTCACAGCTCGCATTTCCCAGCAACTTCTGTCACATTTACTCTGCTGACTCGTTTAGCATAAGACTCTCTCAAAAAGTAATATCCGGTGTTTTTAAGCAAACATTGTTTCCCACTGATTTTATTTTAGCAAGGTTTATTAACAGTAGAAATAAACTCATACTGCAGGTTTATGATCACACTGCATCTTGTTTGAAAGCCCTGCATGTGTGGATTTATGGAGCGGGAGCCTGGTGAGTGCCCTCCATTTAAAGTTTGAATTGATATACCGTATTGATCACCTACAGAGTTTTGTTCTCATTAAATGCTGCTTCTTTGGACAACTTCACATGGAGGCTCCCTCTTCAGTGGCTGCATTTCAACAGGATATTGAGCCATTCACAAGTCATTTTGTGAGCTGTGAAACACGCATAACAAGGTTTTGCTTCATCCCCTTTTTCCTGTTTACCATTCGTTTCTTTTGCCTGAATTTATGGAGGTTTTTGGGGAGTGGAAATAGGAAGCAGGCTCAGTTTTTATTTGTTTGGCTGTAAAAAAAACAACAACAAAGGAACAAGTATGGATGAGGATTCTTTGGTGCTGTCCCTGTTTAATCAGTTGATGTTCATGGACGCTCCCAATGCAATCTGACTGAGTTGGAGTTATTTTGCAAACTGGATTGAGCAAAATGCGGCTTGCAAAATATTTGTGGGCGGGTCCACAAATACTTGAGAGACCCCCTTTAAATACACCTGTACCTGTCCAAATATACCTTAATATACACTAATATGCACATGAGTAACTTTCTTAGCACCACTACAGAAGCTGACATCTACAGGTTTCCTTATGTCTGCTCTTGGGGGTGCAGCCAATCAGTACCAAGGAAAAATAATTGCTCTCCTGAATCGGCTGCTTTGCTTAATATAAGCCAACGTTTTAAGTAGCATCGTGCCTAGATATTTTAGCTTTCCAAGCTGCATTTTCTTTTAAATATTTTAGCTGTGCTCTAAGAAAGAATCTGTGAATAGGTGAATTTTCCACAAATAAAGTCAGGATCCTTAGAAAACTATGAATACTGAGCTGAAAATAGGCTGCAAGCCGTAATTACAGCAAAATATGGTTCTACAGAAAGTGTAGCCTGCATAATGCACACCTCTTCTTTTACAATTTTTATTTGTACAAAATAAAATTATAAATTATCTTGATATTGGATAAACTACTTTGTGTTGCTCTTTTACAGAAAATTCCAATAAAACATCCTAAATTGTTTTTGCAATGTGGCAATATGTGAAAATTCAAGGGATATGAATGATTCAGATTTTTCTGACATCTTGAAACCATTAAACGTTATTTAAAATAAAGTCAATGCCAAACAAAACATTTCAAATTCAGGTTGGTGAATGCAAAAGCACTCATTCTCGAGTCAAATGATGTGACAAAAAACATTTTAAAGTCCTGAAAAAACGGTGTGGAGTTCTCTTTTGTAAATAAAATGGGAAACATGGACATCTTGTGTTAGCATGTGGTAAACAGAAAACCTGAAACTCATTGTTTTCAATGTCTGTAAATCCATAAAGCACCACCTACTGCTCTTCAGACAGAACCTGACAATAGTTTCTGCTCTCACCCTCCATGGATGGGAGGAGAAACATGTCAGGAGAGATCAAATGAATGCAACCAGAGAGATTTCTGCAGCAGCTTTCTTTGCTCTATCTCTGAGTAGATATAAAACAGTAAACAGAGAGCAGTTTTCTTTGTTGAATTTCAGAGCTTTAAGCTATAAAGGTGTTATTTCTGGTATGCACACAGTAACCAATGTCTTCACGTGACATAAATGAGCATGTCGACTTCTTAAACTTGCATCTCTACAGGAATCAGAGTGGAGATCCTTTCTGTTGCATTCTGTCATGTCCTGACGTTAATAATTTAAACCCGGTCTCAGTATGAAAGGAGAAATAAGATTGATGATCGTGTTTTCATGCTTTGCAGTGGGTGGTCAGCTATCTGTGTCATGCTTATGTCTCACATACTGAGATACATTTAATATCCCGACCAAGACATGTCCTGCAGTCTGGGGAGCTTAATGAAGACAAAGATTAATACGCCATTTGTCTCTGATTAATTGACTTGTTATTCTGACATGACAGCAAATGATCAAAAAACAGAGGTGACCGACAAAAGTTTCTTTCTGAGCTACCAACTCAACTTTTCAGTGACAATTAAAAAGTCTGCTGCGAGAAAAACCAAACATCTGACCAACACCAGAGATATTCATGGTTATCTTACAGTTTGACATGAAATCAGACCAAATCTTTTCTGTTTTACATTAACTAGAACTGAGAAGATAATTACCTAAATAATTTTTGATGAATGTCCAATTAAAATTTTTTCCAAGAAGAATTTTGTTAAATGTTCTTCACAGCTTAAAAGTTACGTACATCTTAGCCGGGTGGCCTATGAAGACATAGAGTCATTTCTTCTCCAGCTCAGAGTGCAGCATTAATCTGGGGACACAGGTCTCTGCCCAACAGAATATATTTTTTAAAAATTATTAAATTAAAGGAAAAAATAATAATAAAATCCAGCATATTTCATAGAGGTTATGGCTCAAAAGCCAGCGACTGCCACTTCAAGCCATGTGCGTTAGGGTTTGAAGTAACCGAGCCGATCCAAAGGAACAGGCTCAGCTCTGATCTGGATTACAATTGGCAATCTGAAAACGTAATCTATAGCAATTTCATAGCAGTTAAGCTGCAAAACTAAATTAAAATCACATCTAACTGCAATAACTCACATCATTTAATATTAAAAGTGCCACCGTAGCAGCTACAGCAACTGGTCTGCTTTAGTCAAATTTTAAAATGAAGGCATTTTTAACAATCCTGGTGAGTTGCGGTTGCTGTGATGTGAGCGTGTCTATCTCTGTTTCCATGGAGACACTAAACAGGGAAGTCCTTGGCTTCTTTAATTAAATATTTTCACTAAAGTTGACAGGTTATAAAGATATTTAATTCAAACTTAGGCTTGGTTTAAATATTGTGTTTGCAAACAAACACGCCATTTCTGTTGAAATAAACAGAAAATATGAAATGCCGAAGAATATGAACTGGAAGATGAGTGAAACAATATACTGGGTAAATATTTAGCATCCTCCCTCCGTAAAACTTCAGCTCCACCTCAGGGTGAGTCCAATATGCCTGACCTACACAGTAGGAGTTTTTTCAGGATGCATTTCTACCCGTTTTGAACGGTACGTACCTCTTACCTAAATGTTCAGGCTCTGATTCCTGCTGTGAAAATGCAGGAATCAGAAGACCTTTCTGATTCCTGTTGCTGCAGTAAAAACAGCATTCTTTGTGAAAAAGGGACTCGGGTGTCAGATCTTTAGGGGTGGAGTCCTGCAATGGAGGACTGACTACAGGTGGAGCTCTCTCATTAGTCCACGGTTTCTATAAAAGGACTCATGCAAGCAATCAGAAGCATTTCCGTATCTTTTAAACAGAAAGTGTCTTCTTAGAGTAACGCTGAAATCCAGGAAGAACTTCTTCTTAAATTTTATAAAAGATGCTACACCACAGAATATGTAAAAAAGTGACAGACAGACGTGCAACAGTAAGTAACACATAAGTGGTTTTTTATTTTTCCCTCTTTTTAAAATGGTTAACATGAGCCATTCTTGTAATTCAGGGGTTCAAATGTTGCTTAAAATGGATTATAAATGAAAGGGGAAGGAGATGGGGAGCACCCAGAAAGCTGTGGGCATTTCTGCCTCAGTCAGTCAGCAGCAGTTTGTTTCCCATTGTGTCAGATTGCTGTTGTAGACTGCCAATTATGGTGGCGTATTTTAGAGGTAATATCATGCCAAACTTTAGAGTTTAGGTTTCCTACTGCATTGTGAAGTTAACTCATACATAAAAAAAAATATTTACACAATTATTTCTAAAAGCCTTTGATCAGTGCCTTACCTTTGATGCATTCTGTTGTCTTCATCCAATTTTGACTTTGCTCTGATCCCGCGCAGCAGAAAGCTGTGGAGCAGAACAAAGAGAACTGATGTTTTGCTACCAAACTATAAAGGACAATTAGGCTTTGTCCGCCCACAAAATACAAGACAGCATCTGCCATTTCCTTAAATGCTGAAAATGGAGGCATATTTACACAACCGACAGCGCAAAACATCTGTAAGAAATATTATCTACGGGGATCTGTAGAATAAATTTAAAACCAACATCCTCAGATAGACGAACCTATCTGAGAATGGATGCACCTACCCACCTTTAGCATAGCTGTCTGCAGAAAATGAACACCCTTGTTAATATCCCATATATTGTTTTAGAATTTTCTACAAACATGTAGAACATGTATTTAAACGTAGATGTGTTTCTGTTTCTGGAACTTTGCATTGGCACAATAGGAGGATGTTTCATTTGTCAAAATCCCAAAGTGATGTGTTCAGTTCAAAAATATTATAACTCCTTTGATTTTCTCTCTACGTCTGGCTGCAGAAAGTCGGCGCTTAGCAGAAGCACCATTTAGTGCTCCTCTGCTGTCCTCTTGTGACACAATGCCAACTCCTCCACCGGGAAGGTGAGGGCTAGGATGAGGTAGATCAGCAGTGCTTGTCGACAACTGTTGGTGTCATTTAGGATGTTGCTTTAAAATATTGTCTCTGCTAGAAACTGAGCTGTTATGGTGCGTTCACACCAAACGGGTTGCACGCGTCAAAAATGCGTCCGACGCGTGTGCACTTTGCAGACGCTTGATCTTTTGCTCTACACTCTTGATGCATCAAACGCTCAAAACGGTTCAAATCACGCCGCGCTAGACTCTCGAAACACACCACGACGGCCCTCTATGCGCCTCCACATAGATTTTGAATGCAAATCAGACGCGCCTGACGCTCAAAACGCGTTTGGTGTGAACGCACCATTAGCCTGATAGTGATACAGCAGCAATTTTCAGTCAGAGGTCTCTTCAGATTTGTTGGGAGACTGACAGCTACTGGACATGCCCTCTGCTCACAGCATCTCCATCAGTAATGACTTTTTGAAGATACTTGGTGATTTCTCTTTGGGATTAATAAGGTATATTGACTTTGAATTAAATAAAATCATCAGTAGAGTCTTCAGTCTGCGCAAAACAACCACAAACACCAAAACCACATTAATCAACATTTAACTTACAACTCAATGTTTCTCCATATCAAGACAGACTAACATTCAGAAGAAGTCTTAACGTTTGCCGATATAAATTAGGCAGACAGAGATACAGAATAAAGAAAAAGCCTTTATATATGATAATCATCCTATATGTACATGTGACCAATGATCTTGTTTTCAACAACAAAAACATGAACTGACTCATGTTCCCAAATGTTGTTGTTTATTGAGGAAATAGAAGATTGTCGTTCAGTCAAAGCCCACCCTGCTTAAAATCCGTCACATCAAGGAAATCTGTTAAAACAGTGCAATTCATTTTAACTCTTCCCTGGATAACAGTGATATAATCCACAGCCCTATTCACTGGATGATTAAAAGCATCCAAAAGCAGTGGTAACAATTCCCCACAGTAAGGATAATCCCTTGCTCATTTCAAGCTTATGTGCTCAGAAGGGGACTTTAAACACAGGCATATGGTGACGGCTTTATATTACACTCAGTGTTTCCAGCAGCGGAGGCTCTGATCAATAATACTCTTAAGATGTACATTTTGTATACATTTACAAACGAAGCCAGTATAGAGTGCATTAAATCCAGCATTTCAGGCTAAAGAAAGACAAGCATCCCTCCACATCCCTTGCAGATATTCTCCCCTTTGTGTAGTTGAGTCCAGCTGAAGGTAGGGCCTGATTCAGAGCGGGAAATAAGCTCTGCTCTTCATAACTGGGCCATTTAGTCCCTTGTGACCCAGCCTCTCTGCCTTTGGCAAACACATCATTTTATTGTGACCCCAGACGGCAGCCAAACAGCCCGCCTATAAGCCACTGGTAATGAAAAGCAGTAATTCCAGCCTAGTGAACACAAACGGAGAATGCCAATTCATATTCATTTGCTGACCCTCTTCCTTGAACTTTGTGTCAACCCTTTCATCCATTCACTGCAGTCGGATCATCCCGGGTATATAGCATCCTCGTTTTCCGCGACCGGCTCAGGAGCCTCTCGAGGTTTGAGATGAGTCACAATAAACAGGTCTGAAATCCACGGCAGATTTAATTGCTGCTTTAAATTATTTAAGTCACATAAATATAATCAACACTCAAATCTGTTAGAAATCTACAAAAATCCTTGGAGAACAATATATCTTTTACCCAACCCTGGAGATTATTCATACGTTTAACGAAGCGGGATATACTCACAGAATTAGAAAGTAAAATATATTTCTCTAGCATAAAGCATTTTAATAAATACGAGTACATCTCAGTAAATTGAATATATATTCTCATGAGGCTTGTTTTTTCAGATTCAAAGTACCTTTCAAAAGTAACCTTTAGGCTGAAATTCATCTTTTCATTAAGCACACATATCTGTATTAAAATGTTTTTTTATTGGTCAGTAATCTTAAACGTTTCTGTTTTTCTAATAAATGAAATCATAATTAGCACAATCAAAGGCCTGGATATACTCAGTATTTGTAAATAACCTATATAATGTTTTTCACTTAGCAAACTGACTTACTGAAGTAAAACTTTCAATAATATTCTTATTTATAGAGATCCACCTTTATTACAAATGACAAAATAAAATTACAACCACTAATTCTACAATCTATTACAAAATGATGAACTTTATAAATAAGAAATCAAAAATATGCAAACTGATTGAAAGTTTTACTTTAAAGTCTCTCTCTAGACTTTAAAGGCTTGAGGCCTAATTTTGGTATATATAATATTTAACAAAGATTCATGGGGAAAACTTTGTAAGAAACCTAAAAAAATAAACAGATAAATAATTAAATAGATCCAAAATGTGAAAAACATAAGTTCTAAGCTGAGGTCCAGATCTCATCCTGCCGACTTTCAGTGACCCGGACTTGCTCTCTTGATCTGCGGCTGTTAGCTTAGCTGACATGGGACTCTCAGCACAACAGCCGAGTGAAGGGCCTGAGGGCAGCCCTGTGGCACGGGGCTGTTGATCTGCCCGGCCGTTGGATGTTCAGGTGTTTAGGTGGTTGCACAACATGTCAAATCGAAATCACCGTCAGAAGCTGGTTCAGATCTGGTACAGATCTTAGCGACTGAGCAAGACTTTGGGGGATGAAACAATGGAAAAGAGAGAGTAAATAGTAAATGCAATGTTTACCAAAGAGTTGGGGAAACAAAACTTTTTCACAAAAATTAAGACTAAACTCCTGCAAAATCTTTATCACAATTGATATAAATGGAGAAGGCTCTTTTTCATTTCGATTAGACTTCCTTCTTCCTGGTTCTGTGTTTTGCTTGGATTTTCTGAATGAAGGTATCCCAAAGTCACTTTAAATGATGCTCAGCATCCCTCTGCAGATCTCTGACATGTTTATGAGGCAGTTGGACCATTTGAATCAGCCATGTTGGAGAAGAGACAATGGACGCACATTGATAGTTTGGTCAGTTAAATAGCATCTTTCTTCTCCTGAGCTCCAGTTGGTCAACTTTCAAGGTTTTTGAAATGGCTCATCTTCCAGGCACCAAAAACATTACCTTAGTGCCAAAAAATGCCTGGGTGTATTTTTTTTAAGCGCTTGGGCTCTTTTTATAAGTAGCTGAGACTCAAGTGAAATATAAAAACCATGCAAAATGTGAAGTTTACATGAAACATCCCCCTTAAAGTGAAAGAGTTGAATGCTAATCAACAAGTAGGTGTTTCATTAGAAACAAGGCGTGGTTGTGAGAAGGTAAATAATTGAAATTCAACAGAGGAAGATGAGATAAAATAAAAACTTTAAAATAAAAATGTTCCTTAGGAGAAACAGGAGAAATGGCTAGTAGAATATACTGAGAACGTGGAAAATAAGGAAGAAGAAATAAGGAATTTGCACAAACCAGAGACACAATACAATATAAGAAAGGATCAATATTCAATCCAAAAAGCTGACAAGACAACACAGAAGCAGCAGGAAACAAGTAGATAGAAAAAACCATTTTCAGAAACTAAGTTATAGAAAGCCATAACTACAGCCAGCCACTAAGAGCTGAAAATTTATTTATGCAAAAAAGTTAAGAACAAGGAATCTTCAAACTAAGAAACAGAATTAATTCACTTTTTTAAGCTGGACATGTTTAAGCACTAATTAATTAGCTTATTATGACTGCTTTAAAGTGTCATCAATTTCTTAAACCGTAAAGAGAAATCACTTATATAAGGTACATTCTGAAGCATCTAGTTGTATGCAGAATGATTGAAGGCAGGGATTTAATTTTTTTTTTTTCTGTTTGATTCAGACACTTATTTAGAGCACTAACCTCAACCCTATAAGATCAATCACAGCAACTATGGAAAAGTAAAATTAATTAAACAGTGACGTCATGGCACAAAGTAGGTGGCTCTGTGTTTATGTGCAACGGTTTTATTTTAACAATATTATAGGTGTGAAGTTGCCAAAATGTATTAATTCTTTGAATTTATTTAGTTTAGTGAAGCAGTTGTTTCTCCAGACATTTATTGGTGTTTTACGCTCCGTTACGCTGCTCCTGGCAGTTGGTCGTTACCATAGCAACCGGTAACTGACGGCTCCTCCCCCTTTTTCTGTTGCCGTTGGTAACTGTGGTTCGTACTAGAATCAGCTCTGCGGTTTCTTTACAAGTATTTTAACATATATTTTAGACACATACACAGTGATACATGAGTACATTTTCTATGTTTTATGTATGTTTTTTAACTGTTATCATTAATGTTGTCCATTTCAGCTATGTTTAATTTCCCAAATATTAACCACTAGCTGCTGCTAACTGCTATTAACTGGTCACTGGGAGCTAGTTCTTTGTCATTTGCTTAGGGTTATTTATTATATTTTATTTAACATACAGGGGGGAAAGCAGCTGGACTGAAGTTAA